CCCCCCCCTGGCCCTTCTTGGCGTTTTTCCTCTTGACCCTCCCGGGCCTCCCCCCCCCGTAGGGGGAGCGCAGGGAGAAGTCGATGTGTTTTTGGGAGTCCAGGCGCACGATGAACGACGGGATGTTCACCACCTGCTTCCTCACCCTGAATTTGGGGGGGGACACAAGGTTTGGGGGGGTCAGAACCCCGAAAATCGGCACCTTAGGGACCCACACGGGCCCCTCCCGGAGCACTCGGAGCCCACCCTGGGCTGGGAAATGGGATGGAAAGGAAGAAAAGGGGTCTAGGAAGGAGGAACCCCAGAAATAATGGGGGGGTCCCTAAAAAATTTGGGAGGTAAGAACCCCAAAAATCGGCACCTTCCAGACCCACATGGGACTGTCCCTGGGGCACCCAGAGCCCACCCTGGGGTGGGAAATGAGATGGAAAAGGGGGGAGAAAATGGTTTGGGAAAAAGGGTCTAGGAAGGGGGGACCCCAAAAATTGGGGGGGTCAGTGCCCGAGCCCCCCCATTCAACGTGGGTGGAGGGTCTGTCAGTGCCTGATCCCCCCAAATTCTCCGGGGGAAGGGGGGTTACCTGTCGTCTCCCCCTTCGCAAGGTGTACGGCTCGGGGGCCGCAGTGACCCTTGCCGGGCTCCCCAAATTTCCTGGGGGGGTCCTGGGGGGGTTCCCCGGGGTGGGGGGGCACCCACCGGATGTGGCGCTGGCGGATGAGCACCCGGGCGTGGTGGATGGACTTGGCCAGGCCCAGCTTGAACACCTGGGTCTGCAGCCGCCGCTCCAGGAAATCCTCGATCTTCAGCCCCAGGATGTAATCCAGCTTCATCTTCCCCTCGTCCAGAACCCCGATCCGCACCAGCCGCCGCAGCAGAGCGTTCCCTGGGGGGGAAAAGGGGGAAAATGGGGGAAAAAGAGGAAAAAAGGGGAATAAAACGGTGAGAAACGGGGCGAAAATGGGAAAAAATGGCGGGAAAATGGGTAAAAACGGGGAGAAATGGACGGGCAGCTGGCAGGAAGGGGGGGGCACACA